CCCAGGGGCCTGCACAGCCCAGAGGGTGCAACCCGGCACTGCAGGGCAGAACAGGGCTGCATGGGGATCTCCTTGCTGCTGCAAGCCCCATGCTGTCCTGGCAGTGAATCTCCTGCATGTGCACAGCAGTAGGAGCAGTGGTGCGGGGTTGTGCCCTTCACTGCTGCTGCGCGCACAAGGGGTGCATAGCCAGGGCAGCACGGAGCTCACAGCAGCAAGCAACTTCCCTGTTTGGCCCCACTCCATCCTGCATTGCCAGGTTGCACCCACTGGACTGCAGAGGCCCTGGGGGAGGGGCAGCAGGGCAGGAGCCCGAGCCCACAGTGGGCAGCCCACCCCTGCTCCATGCACAGATCTGGAGAGCACAAGTCCCCCATACCCCCCAGGAGTGCACACAGCGGTGGGGAGCTGGCCCCACCCACCCGAGCCTGCAGCAGGGGCAGAGACCCGGGCTCTGCTCCGTTGCAGCAGCTGCCACCTCCTGCCAAGGGCAAGGGTCTGTGGACCCAGGTCCCTGGCCCCGTATCCCTGGCACCTGGGGGCCCCCTCTGGCAGGGCTGGGGGGGCAGGGGGCTGTGAGTGGGAAGTGAGGGGCACCAGCAGGGCTGTGGGGGCTGTGGGTGGGGGTCAGTGGACACCAACAGGGCTGGCGGGGGAGAGTGATGGGCACAAGCAAGGCTGGTGGGCTATGGCGGGGAGTGAGGGGCATGAGTAGGGCTGGGAGGCTTTGCAGGGGGCAGTGAGGAACACCAGCAGGGCTGGCAGGGGGGAAGGGGGAGTGATGGGGCTTTCATTTTAATCATGGATTTGGGGGGGTTTATTAGAGAATTTGAAATTTTTTATGAGAATTTGTGATTTTTTTTTTAAAATCAGGGAAATCCAGGATACCTGCTGATAAAAGCCAGTGAAAGAGAAGCTGAGGAATGCCATTAGACTAAAGTATTATATAATCTTGACAGAAGTGAGCCTTTTGCTGAGGTATTAACTATTAATTTAATGTTCAATTAATGTACAGTGCTTTAAGTTTTGCAAAAATTATCTTTGTCTAAGTAGAATGTTTTATATGATGGGTGAGTATATCATTATTAGGCTTTTCACTACCACCTTCATAAGGACAGACTGATACATTAATGTAAGAGTTTTGCAAGACTATAGTGTACTTTTGTAACTTTAAATAGTGCTTATTAATCTTTTCAGAATAAGTAAACAGATTCTGCAAGCCTGTTAAATCTTTATTAATAAATTGTTCTTTTTCCTATACAGATTCAACTGAGTAAATTATAATTGTAATAACTAACATGCTCCCCAAGTTAATCTTTATATCATTCTTTTAATTTAAAAGATTAAATATCTCACTTTGTGCCCAATAAAATACAAAAGCCATCTTTGCTAGGCTGAGTCAGTAATCTTGATAGTAAAATATCTGCATGAGGTAGTAAAATAACTGCGTGTCTGCAGTTATTTTCCTTAATGACAGTTTTAAATGACTCTGACATCATTTTGAAAGTGTATCAAAGTTATGTCTTTGATATGTCTAAATTACAGGTAAATGAAAACAAACATGCTGGAGCAAATTCAGTCCTACTGTAACTTTACTGACTGCAGTGTTACACCAGGGATGAATTAAGGTTGCATTTCAAAGCAGCTTTCATTCTTCTGATTTTTCCAAAACACAGTCTTTGCAGGAGCAGAGACAAGCGCAGGCAAGTACCCTGCCAATAAGTGAGTTCACAGGAATTGTTACAAGTAACTAAACTGTCAGCAGAAAAAGACCAACAATTTGAATTAAGTACAAATACAGGACAGCCAATGCCCTCTAATGGTCTGCAGGTTTTAGTATGTGCTAGAACAGACATTTGTGATGCTTAATTTATGGGATGGGAAATAAGTCCAGCAGAGTCGCACTTCTTGTTACCAATCATATCTGAATTTATCAATATTTTTTTTTAATGCAATGAAAGATGACGTCAAAATCCTTCCTACGCTAATCCTGAACAGCAAATTTAAGCTACACAATATAAAACAGTATCCTGTCTTTTCTATGGTCTTTATTCAACCATTTCCTCAAAGAAGGTTGAAAAGGTACTTATCAATTTGCAGGACAAGTTTTCCTGAACCAAGTTTTTTTAGTCACTTCCATTTTTACCCACAGCATCAATAATACTGAGAATTGAGATACCAGCTAATGGCTCCACTTCTTCCTCCCCTCCAAAAATATTACATGGTGTGAAAGAGTCAAATTAATAGCCAAATTTAAAAATAACTAAATCAAATTAACAGATAAACTATAGACAGTCCTCAATACCACAGGGTTAAAGACCCCATATTACCCCTTGTAAGTATACTTTTGGCATTTTAAAAAGCCCAGGAATGGCTACACGCACCTCTAAAATAAAATAAGTAAGCAGGCAGTCCACACCCAACCAGCTCTACGAGCTCTTCCAAAGACCTTTTAGATAATCACAAAGGAATACTGAAGGAATTCTGCATTCTGCTAATATTACAATATATGTTAAATCTGTGGTAGATGTTTAAAACTTCCACAAGAACAAATTCCTTCTTTCAAATATCCTTTTGTGAAAGAAAAAAACACAATTGCCTAATTTCACTCATATTCAGTAATCATGACATTTGTCCATACAGCAAATCATATTTGTTCTAGTGTCTATATTTAAAGGTAATTTCAGTCAGAAAATGAAATGGTGCTATCTTGACCTTTTGTCTTACATGGTTTATGAATTACTGACACATTACAATATCCCCCAACTCTGCAGAAGCTTTGAAATATTGCAAAGTCTCTCCTGTAAGGGAAATAAACTTGGTATGCCACTAAAAGGCATTAAATTATTTTCATTATGCCACACAGAATCTAAAACACTTACACTGTTTTGATTTCAAAATCCTTGGAGAACAATTATGCTCTTTGGGCCATAAGACTCTATTATAAAGTCCTTAGAAACCTAGCATGGTTTCAATAAATCCTCAAACACTACAAAGCAGTTACTCAGCTTGAAGAATGAAAACATGAGTTCATCCACTAAAAAGTCAGGATGTAAATTCTACTAATACAGCATTCCACATTTCCTTACATATTTCTTTTTTTTTAAATAACAGCAACACTTTAAATCAAAGTTTTAGTTCAATATATACACTTGTTAGTTTCTAAACAGATATTAATAATATTTTGGTCAGGTTTGTGGTATTTAAGGTATTTACTGACAATTAAATATGCATATATAGACAGTTTTTAAAAATTAGACTATAATGATCATCTGGCATTTAAGATTCAGAACAGTAGTCCCATTAAAACTACATCAAGGATTGGTAAAAGATTAAACCCTTGAACACATACATGTGTGGATTTTCATTAAATAAATCACATCACAAATACATTATTTCATGCAGAAAAGGATCTCCAAATTAAAAAATACATCTTAGAGGTTATTATTGTAGATTAACTATGGATTTAGGGAGCTTGAATTTTAAAAATTGTGCCAACATTATTTTTGCCTGACGAGAGTGTCCATGTATAAGTATAGTCTTTAACCATAAATATATAATAAACATGTTTGTATGTACATTTCTAAGTCCTCCTAGAAAGAGCACAACCTTCTAATTAAACTAATTTTCTTCCCTTTCTGAAGAGAAACAACAAAAGGCGTTACAATCAAAATAGACGGAAATCAGAGGGAAGGAAGGGACAAGAGAAACTATATTCTCTGAAATGAAAAAAAAAAATCCAGCAGGAAACCAGGGCCTAGTAACTTTCTGCCAACAGCAGCTGAGATGCTTCATCACAACTCTATTTTTCCAGACATTATGTTTCATTTGGCTGCAAGGGTCACATGACAGCTGCAAACTAACGCCTTAAGGTTTGTTTCTGCCTCTCTGTGACATTGACAGGCTGTGAGAGACTCCAACACCACAGAAAGAAAAAAAATGTCCTTGTTTCCATTACATCATCCAGCCAGTACTGGGGGAGGGGGCACAGCTGGTGGCAGCTGCAGTACCATCTGCTTTCTCCTTACAGTGCCTGCTAGTTTGTTCTGAAGATTTCTACTAATCTTTATGGAGAAGGGACTGTGTTAAAGACACAACACCCCATTATGTGAAATAGTATTTGTTTCACTATTGAGGAACAAGTTAGTCTAACAGCCAGCAAAGATGCATCAGGTAGATTCCTGATTATTGTTAACCATAACAGTAAAACAACCATAGTCACCAAAGCACTCCGTGATTACTGGGAACTCAGAGAGCATAGGAACAACCCACCATCTGCCTTTCACAATGTAAGGAGCCAAAATAAAACTCTAGTCAGCAATATTTACAGAAATTAAAAGAAAGGCAACATAAGCCTCCGAAGTTAGAGATTAGCTGAAGTAAACTGGGAAGACAAAAACTAAACACTCATGGAATAATATGCATAGACATCTGTATTCTTTAATGAAGTATATATTTATGAAACGCTGTCAGCATATCACATAATTTATAGTAGTTCACACTGAGAAAAGAAAAAAAATGAGCTTGCATAGCTCACTGAGAGGATTCTGGAAGTGACAAGAACTTTATCACTTCTGTATTAAAGTGTAGTATATTATATCATGCAATCACTTGAACTGCATTTCCAATTTCTCGTTCAAGTCGCTGTTATTTTTTTCATCAAAAATGAAGGCCGCTTACATATCTCTTATGTCCATAAGGAATACACATTTAAAACCTTATTTTACATATTGAGCCACATACTAGTGCTCATTAAAGGTACAATTCTGCAACTGCATGACTTCAGTCAATTACTTATTATGAGTTCTTATGTGACCAGTGTCACTCAACGTGCTAGAGTCAGAGTGAAAATGGGGAGGAAATCCCTTAATTTCACAGAGTTCCTCCAGATTTATACCAGTAAAAATGTGATCAGAATCTGGCCTTTAGTCTAAATACAGGTCTGGTTGTGTGCATCTCACTAGACATTAATTTCAAAAGATTAAATCCACACTACTTACCATACATTTTGCCTTCATCTGATAAGATTATTTTCCTCCTCCCACATGGTGGATAGATAGCTAGAGCCTCCTGAAAGCTCTGTTCAATGTCAGGGCTCCAGACACCTTCTGCATCATTGTCAATAGGTTTATCTGCAGAATCACTCATTCTTTCAATGTCTTCGGCAGGGCTCTCACTGCCGCTCCAGCTGCTGGGCTCAATGATGATGGCTGGGGTCTCCAAGCCTAAGCCTGGAGTCTTAAACAAAATAAACCTAAAAGACAAAAATCCAACAACATATATTAGACATGGAATTTGACATGAACTGTCCTTGGCTACTCCTAATTCTAAATCCACATGACACAACTTCCCAATGACAGACAATCCAGATGAGCATGGACGTTTGGTTCCCCGAGGACAAGTAGCAGCAGGACACCTTGTGCCACTGCTAACTGTCCCTAGGGAACAACTGTGCTACGTGCCCTTTGGCACATGGCAGGCTACCCCAGGTGGGGTAGGGGAGGCTAGAACCAGCACAGTTGCTGGCCCCAGCAGCCTTACCTAGGGTCCCGGGGGCTGGGAAAAGCTACAGCCATGTCGCTCCTGCAGGTTGGAGCCTGGCCAGCAGCCAGAGCACGGCTCCGGCCAGCCAGGCTCTGGTTTTGGGTGGCACGCTCTGTCCCCACATGCGCCACCCTGCTTCATGGGTTTTTTTGACCCATGGATCTCCAGGGTCAGAAAAAAACCCTGCACTGCAAGTTGTAGCACAGGAAATGCCTGAATGTGTGGTATGTGGTGCCACAGAGAGGTCTGTAGCGCCACATACTACAGTTGCGCTCATCTGGACATAGCCAATGGGTGCATCTACACACAAGCTGACTAATTAGCTCCGCAGTAAAGTGTCATTGTCTACATGTGCACCGGTATTAAGGCACAGTAAATTCACTCCACTGTAAGATAGCACAGTTGGGGATAGTACTATCTTACCACAGAGTAATTAAGTGCAATGAAATGCACATGTAGATGGTGACAGGGACTGGCTAGGGCATGAAGGCACTAAAATGTGGAGGCTTCCTGCCGCATGGCTCCACTTCAGCACTTTCGTGCCCCAGCGAGCCCCTCCACTACCCAGTGCCACCTCCAGAAGCCTGGGGCTGATCCTCCGCCCCCCAGCCTACTGCTCAGCCCCAGCCTAAACTGCTGCTGTCCTAAACACATGTGTAGACACTTCTACACCCATGTGCACCCAGAAGCAGCTGATTCTGGCTTGAATTGCTCCACAGTTTACTACGTCACATTAATTTCATGTGTAGATGCACCCAATGTGACTTTACTATTGAGATTATTAAAGTTTGTAAAAACCCAAGAGAAAGTAAAATACACATTTCAATTCTACCCTGGAACACATGTAGAGTGATTATTTTGGAATGGGAGCTATTAATTCATTTTCTGCATGCCTCTGTACACAAGCAACAGGTTATTATTATTATTAGTTTTCATTAGCTGTAACCCCCTCCCCAAAAAAAAAAACTTGCGAAAAAATAATATCAGGAAAAATATTCAACAAAATGCAATGTACTTCATTTTAACACTAATAATTTTAGAACCTAGGGGAGCATTCTCAGCTGGTGTAAACTGATTTCACTATATTGACTTCAGTGTAAGCATGTCACCTTAAACCAGTGAGAAACTGGTGTCACTAACTCTTAAAGAATAAATGGTTTAAATTAAAACAGAAATAATACTATTGTTCCCATTCATCCCAGATGTCAGTGGAGTCAAAGGAACTACTCCAGAGATTAAATTCAGTCCGCTGTGTTTAAGCGGGAAATACTGCAATATTTAGGTCTTACCCAAATGCATAACATTCAGAGGCTGAGCTATATATAAGGTGAAACCTTTAAAATAATAATGCCAGAGAAGGGAACGATGAGAGAAAATATTATACATTTAATCTACGTTTTAAAAGGTCTCTGCCACATAACTACAACAGAACAAAGATTACAAGCTTCAAGTTGCTGAATCAATTTCATAAGAAATAATTTAATACAACAGCACCTGCTCACACCAGTACAGCTACAGATCTGTCAGTGTTCCTTTTATATTTCTGAGAGAAATACAACTCTGCTATAAAGGTTTGCTCCAGGCTAAAATCTGCCATGCCAGACCAAATCCATCCCTGGTGTAACTCTGTGGAAGTCAATGAAGTAACTCCAGGATTAAATTTGCCTCCGCACATCCAGGTATATTACATTTTTTCATACCAGAAAAGGAACAAGAGACAAACAACCCAAAAAGAACTTAGGTGACTAAGGTGGGGGTTAAAAAAAAAAAAGCACATTTTAAAAAAATCAGTGAGTGGCTTAAAATTAATAAAACTACCTTGGCTACATAATTATTTTTCTATATGAAGGACTGGGATGTGCCTTATCCACATGCAGAGGAAAATAGGGAACTCAGGACTCGGGCATCTTCATAGCACTACCCTAATTTCTACATAGGCTCTCAGCATATTCTTACAATTGCAGATGGCATTCATCTTCCCATCTGCATCCCATGGAAACAGAACAGGAAAGTCAGTATAGGCAGAGACTGCACTGGCTTTACCGAAGACACTTCTCAGTATTAGTAAACTCCTGAAAAGCAAAAAAATATCAGCAGCAAGCACCCATTTGTTTGTCTGAGACACTAGGTCCTAAAATCCCTAAGGGCCACATCAGCAAGAGGTGATGATGTCTTTAAAAATTTGGAAATAAACCTGGGAGTGGTCCCTCTGTCACATAGTAATGGCCTGACCTTTAAAAGGTACTAAGCACATGCAATTTTCACTGAACCCAATGGCAGCTGGGCTTGCTCAGTACCTCAGAGAATAAAGCCACAAATTCCTTTTTAGACAACCGCATATTTTAGTGTTTCGCCCCATCTTGGTTTTAAACATTTCACTGATAACCACACCAAACATAATCACTGATATCAAAGTTGGTCAGTCCCTAGACACTTTTTAATAAAGCAATATAGCCGGCAAAGCTGACGGTAAGGCGGAGTCAACTGGAAAACAGCATGCTGCACAACAATCCCATGTGAGACCAGGGACTTTGGCCAAGAGTATCAGGGCAAACATTTACCCTTCCAGGAAGTAACACAGGATCTTTATTGTCCAGTGAAAACAGATGGTGCCTGGATTTTTAATTTTCACCTAAAAGAGCAAGAGATACGCAAACACAAAGGGCTAAAAAAAATACCAGTTTCTCTACTTCAATGGGCGAATTTCTTAATGCTGTCAGGACCTGAACCTTGTACTCGAATCACAACAAGCACTCTAGCAGCAATGTTATTGTTGCTGTACTTGAAAAAGGATGAGCCTTGAGGTCTTTGATAACCTTGCGTGATCAAAACTCAGTTTTACATTTTATCAGAAGGGAGCATCTCCAACAGCAGAGTGCTCCCTGACGCCCGCCAGCAGCATTTCTCCAATGCTGACTCACAGGGGCGAACATATACCAGCTACTAGATCACCTGTGCCACTTCCCACAACATGTAGATAAGCCAAGACTGTCTCTTATTCTAGGCCAAACACGCGCTGCTGATGACCTCTTCCAGATCACAATTCAAGAGCTTGGACTTCCACATAAACCAGCCTTCAACATATTTAGTTTTCTAAAGAAGCATTAAATCAGCTCCAAAGTAACTGACATAACTTGATATTCAAGTTGGACCTTGTATTGAGTCTGCAGGTGGAGTTTCTCTAACATACTGTCTCCTCTTTCCATTTTTCCTCCCCACTTGAATCACTGGCTTCAGACATTAGTTGCTACAAATCTCTGTTTAGCAGCCTTTAAAGTGTAGGACAAGCATATGTTTCTTCTAGAATGTCAGCACAATGGGGGTGGGAGCAATCTGTTGGAAATAAGCTCTCGTGTACTGAAGGGAGCTTTTAGCGAATTCCATTTCTGTGAATGCTGACACTGCAGATCAAGCCAGCAGACTGAGGGGGGGAAAAAACTTGTATTCCAACCACTAAATGGCTCCCTCTTATTTCAGGAGAATAATGAGCTACTCAGTTAATCACTTCCAGCTCAGCACCATGTATCAAAAGGCCATTCCACTTCATACTGTAGTTTGAATCCTAAGGCCTTAACTATGATGAAATAATTTGGTGTTATTATGCTTGAGTTCAAAGCAGCTATCTGAAATATCACAATTTACTTCCCATTAGATAAGCTACACTGTGCATATCTAATGTGCTGTAACACATAAAAATGTACGTTTGGTTCAATCCAAGTGAAAAAAATATATTATGGTGAAAAATACATTCATGACATGCACCTCCCTGCTATATGCAAATTCCCATACTCAAAATAGCAGCTTCCTAGTTTCTTTCTATTTAACGAGGAACAGGCAGAAAGAGTGCTAACTCAAATTCATTCACATACACTCATGCACTAAGAGTGAAAAGCACTATTGCTGTTCTCCAGCACACAAGAACTGTTACTGAATAAATTTTTTAAATGTAAGCCCTCAACACTGCTTCCAAAGTCCACAAAAACAACCTCAACAGGCCCTTATGTACCCACTAGGAATGTGTAAACATAAACCTCCAACTTAAGATGCCTCTTTTCATATTTTACTTTTCAGCTGCAGCGTCCTGCTCTCCTGCCCCTTCTTTTAGTATTTCAAGCTGACTTCCATCACGCATGTGACCTGTAAGATGCAAGCCATGGTAACCTCTGCTGACCATTTCTTTTCTGCGTTTGCCCTTCTTTTATGTTTGCCTGTCTCTTTTGCCTCTCAACTGTCAGTTATCCCTTGCCTGCTCTCATGTAGTTACAGTCTTCTGCATAACAGACTGACTGTTGGTAAGGCTATATATATTTTTTCTCCCGTAAGCAAAATACTACTTTTGATTGAGAGGCAATGATCAACTGTATAAGTGTATATTAATGGCCAGGATCAAGCCACCCTTTTAAATAAGCTTCAAGAAATTAGCCAATAGTTGTAGGTAAGGTATTCCTCTCATGCTTGATTTGTGGGTGGTTTACAAAAAAAAAGATCTGAGAAATAAGAGAGATCATATACTGTATTTACTCACACTCCATATGCACCTTTTCCATAAAAATGAGTACCCCAAAATTGGGGTGCATGCCTTAAACAAGAAAGTTGATCTTACTTTGTTGGACTAGAAGCATGAAGACGCTGTGTTGCTTGTAGTCCTCTGCAACTACAAGTACAGCAAGAAGGAACAGAATCCAATGTTAACGCTTTCAAAGCCACTCT